GATAGGCCTACAAATGAAATAAATTGCTTTTTAGTTTTTCGGGTAGGTTTAAAACACAGTAGGGCTATTAAGATAATTTTTTATTTTTTTTTTTTACCAATCATCCAAATAATGTTTAATCCTAAAAAGCTACTATTATCAGAGGACTCGTGAGCATAACGGTTAGCAGATCAATGAATGAGAGGGCAGCGTTACCAGAGTTGCCCATTTACCACACCTTGTTACAGCACAGTAGGCCTATTGCACACAGAAACAATACTGTACTACATCGATGTTTCCTGTCAGCTTTAATTTTGAGTGGACTTTGCTGTTCCGATGAGCATGAACGGTATATGAGTGGAGCACTCACATGGGCCGTGAGCGACTGAGCGGAGCACACACACGCATAGAGCGGGATGACCACCAGCATGGCGCCGCATGACCACCAGCATGGCGCCGCAAATGGCAGCAAGGACGCTGAGCTCCGCGATTCTTCTGTTGTTTTTGTTTGTTTGTTCTGTGTTTTGTCATTCTTCTTCTATACGTTTTACCAGAGACGAACTCCTTAACATTACGCAGCACATCCCAGACAACATTTTACCGGTTTTTGATTATTTGGACGTTTTGTTGGACATTCTAGTCGGAGGTACAGCGGTGTTGTTCAAACGCGCGTGCAGACGCAGAAGAGGGAAATGCGCCGGCGCCCTGGTGAAGCTCCGCGTGCGCGGCTTTCGGACTGCGCTCCCAAGCATTCATCTCGCGAATGTCCGTTCCCTTCCTAACAAAACGTATGAACTTCTTCTCCTCACCCGCACCGACAAGGACTTTTCAAACTCTGCTGCACTGTGCTTCACTGAAACCTGGCTGGAGTGAAGCCATTCCGGACAACGCGCTTCATCTGCCGGGCTACCAGCTGTTCAGAGCGGATCGCATCGCGGAGTTAACGGGGAAAACCAGAGGAGGTGGATTGTGTTTCTACATCAACGAAAGTTGGTGTTCAGATGTAACAACGCTGAAAAAGGTATACTGTCCTAATTTAGAGGCACTCATCATAGACTGTGAACTTTTCTACTGGCTGAGGGAGTTTTCCTCTTTCATTCTCGTGAATGTGTACGGGCCTCCGGACGCGTGCGTGAGCGCCGCGATGCAACAGCTGGCCGAACAAATAACTGAAATGGAGCAAAGGTACCCAGACTCTATTTTAATCATTCTTGGAGATTTTAACAAATCAAATCTCTCCCGTGAACTGCCAAAATACAAGCAGCACATTACGTGTCCCACCAGAGACAGCACTATTTTGGATCACTGTTACACAGCAATAAAGAATGCATATCACTCTGTCCCACGAGCAGCTTTGGGGCTCTCTGATCACTGTTTAGTTCATCTAATACCGACCTACAGGCAGAAACTGAAATCAGCTAAACCTGTATTAAGGACTGTAAAAAGATGGACTAATGAAGCAGAGCCTCTGCTATCATTGAGTCTGTCCTGTGTTCATCCATAACTATCTGGTTTGGTTCAGCAACCAAATCATACATCAAGAGACTACAACAAACAGTCAGGACTGCTGAGAGGATTATTGGTGTCCCTCTGCCCAGCCTCCAAGATCTTTACATCTCCAGAGTGAGGAAAAGGCCTAAAAAAATCACCTTGGACCCCTCACACCCAGCCCACTCTCTCTTCGAACTGTTGCCTTCTGGTCGGCGCTACAGAGCACTGAGCACCAGAACAGTCAGGCACAAGAACAGTTTTTTCCCACAAGCTATATTCAGTCTGAACAATTAATCTTTCATAATTATACATCGTCCATCACAACTAACATAGTATATTTATATTAAACTGCACACTTTGTAAATAACATATCTGCACACTAATAAACAAATATGTACATTTATCTAAACTGTTAAATTTTTTCCTATACTTCTATTTCTGTATATAGTACATTATTAAATTTTTCTTTTTTTATTATATTAGTGTTATATTACATCCCTACTGTGTTATTCCTTTGTATGTCTGCACTATCATGTATGTCTGCACTATGTTTGTACTTTCTTCTGCACTGGAAGCTCCTGTCATCAAGTCAAATTCCTTGTGTGTGTAAACATACTTGGTAATAAAGCTCTTCTGATTCTGATTCTGATAATTCGCAGAGCGTCACACCGCGTGAAAGTGAAACCTGAGCGGTGAACTAATTTTCGGCAGCCGGAATTTCAGTGCATCTCTAATTATTGGCGACATTAGAAATGGATATTATATAATAGATGCAGTGTTTCTAAATAATGCCGCGAGTGGGGCTTGAGGAAGTGACGTTGCCTGCGTCTGCCCAGTGCGACCTGATGCAGCCCCTGAAGTGAAACAGAAACACTGCAAAATAATAATAACGACTAAACGAGACGAAATAACATTAGAACATTTCATTTCGTCTCGTTTTGGTCAACGAAAATGAAGAGACATTTTAGAATAGTTTTTATTTTGTAAACCACATGGGTATACCGTTCCCCATAGCGACCCCTAGAGGACGCAGTTCGAAGTTCCCATGAAAGGGAACATCTCAGGTTACTTATGTAACCATGGTTCCCTGAGTAGGGAACAAGACACTGCGTCCTCTAGGTTTCTTGCCATGCTGCGGACGCAAGCTTCAGACGAAGAAGAGAATGATGTGTGCTCCCGGCGCCTATTTATATTATAGTCGCACCAGTAGTGACGTCATGGCTGTCGCCGGCCAACGAGTTGGTGTTTTTTCAATGTATGCTTCAGACACGGGTCACGACGAGGCGTTCCCCATAGCAACCCCTAGAGGACGCAGTGTCTCCTTCCCTACTCACCATGGTTACATAAGTAACCTGAGACGTTTGTCATCCACAAATCTCCACAAAATTATTTTTCATCAGAAAGACCGTCAAGCTCAAATTGTGTGTCGTCCAGCTGATCAATTAAACTGTAAACCAGACTAAGGATGCCAACATTACTGAACTCCATCAGTCGAGTTCGGGTATGTCACAGAACTCTGTATGTCTCAGAACTCTGTTGAATGTGTTCAGGTATGTCAATATAATAGGCTTTGTGAAAGTACAGAAGCTAAAATCCACTGTTAAGGTAACTGTCATTTTCAGAACAATTTTTTCCAGCTGATGAATGATGAAAACATTGACAGCCAATCAGAATAAACCCGACTGTAAAGAGCTCAAGCATTAAAAAGCGACAGACGGCAAAACTGGAGCATGTGCTTAGAATAAACATAGCATTGTCACCCGTTGGTATGGACAAAAATATAGTTATCGTTATTACCGTTCTTGGTGTGAACGGGTCTTTAGTTTAGGGAGAAACTGAATCAGTTTTGGGCAAAACATGGTGTTGATTCATGTTACTGCTTGTGGGTGCGGAGAGAATTGACAGCATTTCATTTAGAGATATAGAGCATGACCTGTTTGTGCATATGAGGGTTGGGTGCATTTGCATGCATTTTCTTCAGTCATGTAACAGGAACAGAGAACAAACAGCAGACGAGTGACAGAGAAGTGTAGTATGTTTGTTTGTTTTTTGGTGGGGCTGGTGGGGTGGTATTCCATGCTGCTCTAGAGATCATTAGCACTCAAGGCAACAAC